TTCCCTGTACAATCTTAAACACCTCAATCAGATCCCCCTTAACTCTTCTTTTTTCATGACATGAAAACTCCCAATCTAGAGTGACCGATATAAATTGGTTATTCCGTTTCATTATCTTACCAGTTGTTTATATTATTTCCGTAGTTCACTGTTACCATTATGTTTAAAGTAAACGATTTGTCGTTATTAAAGTCGTTGTGTATTTATAAACTAAGTTTTAAATGTAGATGTTGTTTTTTTCAGTAATGCTTATACGACATAGACATTGGTTAATTAAGTAGTTAAAAAAACAGTAGCTTCTTAGTTTTTACTGTAAACGCTAGGTGGATGGTCAGTCATCTACTTCCATCATGAGGGAGCCACTGAGCGTGATAAAAGTTATGAATAAGGTATCATTGTTTTCTTTTCTTTTTTAGGGACTTACAATGCTAAAATCCTGGGGTCGATTCCCCGCAGTGGTCACAGCAAATAACCCAACGTGGCTTTGCTCTACACACAAACTTTCTGGCTTGCTTTTTTTGCGTAGTACATGTTTTTGGAGTATATTTCGTTTAACAAAAGTGAGAAGTTCTAGACTAACTTACTTTTGTCATTGTAATCATTTACATATACGCCTAGTGACATAAAAAACAAACAAACTCAGCCATTTAATTGTGTCTTGTTTAACAAACAGCCGATGATTCTGGTAACAATTCACTAAAACCAATAGAAACCCGCTGGACTGCACGTGAAGAGAAATTGAGAGTTTTTATTGGATATAAACAAATATTCATAATATAAAAAAGTAGGCTTATATTTTTTTAAATTATATTCTTCACTTGGTCTCTTAGGGTTTTTGGTTGTTTTTTTTAGGGTTCACGTAGACATCGAATCAATGTAGGCATCGGGTTAACGTAGACACCGAATCAATGTAGGCATCGGGTTAACGTAGACATCGAATCAATGTAGGCATCGGGTTAACGTAGACGTCGAATCAATGTAGGCATCGGGTTAACGTGGACATCGAATCAATGTAGGTATCGGGTTAACGTAGACATCGAATCAATGTAGGCATCGGGTTAACGTAGACACCGAATCAATGTAGGCATCGGGTTAATATAAACATAGGGTTAATATAGACATAATGTTAAGGTGTATTACTGTTTACTTGTTTGTTTTAACTTAAAGCTACACAATCGGCTATCTGCACTATGCCTACCAGCAAGAAACGGATTTGAATGTTGTAATGACAGATAGATATATTACTGAACGAGTATTTATTAATTAATTAGTTATCCTGATGCCAATATTAGAATAAAACTCAAATAAAATAGACCAGATTGAAGAATTTCAGCTGACGTCTACATTAACCCTATGTCTAGTGTACACCTAGTTTCTGGTTTGTTTTTAATATTACGTATATTCGTCTAATCCAGTTCACTAGTTATTTTACAGAAGACGTGTAGTGTTACAGCGGGGCAATAAAATAAGATAGAGATAGTTTGTGTTGCGTAATATGTTTCAACTTGCTTTTAGTACAAGAATCGTACGGTGGCGTCGCACGCATTTTTATGCGCTAGTCCTAAGCCCTTTTGAAGATTTTTGTTGCAATGCAAAGTATATGTCCTTTAACGAAGGGATATATCGGAAATGAATGTCACAGCTTCTGATGTCCCACTGAGACGAAATATCTCCTCGATTCAATTTCCCGTGTGGCCATTAATATGTGCGATGTCTGTTGTTTGCTTATCATCTACGTCTGTGTCGTAAGAGGGCCGGGGACCTTCAAGAGGGGTGTATACGAGAGAATGCTTTAGATTAAACAATATTCAAGAGGCTTGAAAGAGAGGGGAATACAGGAATAACAGAGAGGAGGGGGGAGCCGGGTTGTGAGAAAAGCAGGAGACTGGTAGCTTGTGAATATTGATGAATATATCGTCCCATCGAGGGATCGAACTTCGGTACTAGATGACAGCGCTCAAGTCTTATCGCTTGTCTTATCGGCAGTATGGGTGGCCTTAATTTTATGTCGTTTTATTGGTGTTTCTCAAGCTGAAGTTAATGGTACAACATCTTAAGAACAGTGTCGAGAAGTAAACGTTCTCGTTCTCCAAATAATGATTCCCGCGGTGAAGACATTTGTTTTATAATAAATCTTTTCTCAAACGTCGCTATCATCATTAATCTTCGTCCAACTTGTCAAAAAAGGGGACCCCCATAGGCGTCAGTTCAAAAGCTATAGTTTTTTTAATGCCAGCTATATAACGCATATGTATATTTTCTATTAATAACGAACCCTTTTCTGTGGATACTAAGCCTACATTCTAATAATGCAATTTGAAATGGAAATTTAGGAATCTCAAAAACGTTTAAAGTATGATCATCATATATTGGTTTGTTTGTTTGTTGGTGTTGAGCACAACACAGCTACACAATAGGCTATCTGTGCCGTTGCCTACCACAGGTATCGAAACCCGGTTTTTAGCATTATAAGCCTTCAGATTTGCCGTTGAACTCACTAAGAAGAGGGTGTGGGGATGTGGGGTGGATCACGTTAAGACCTTCATTACGAAATGGATCTAATAATGGCTGGAGACGGCTTGAATGGGTAATGAAGAAAAACTTGATGATGAGAAAAACTTGTCGAAACGTTGTAAAATTGCCGTTATTTTAAAGTTTTTTTTCCTT